ACAAATAATTTGTGTGGCATCAGATTTGATGCAGAACAGCTGATTGTTCTGTGAATAGTTTGAAATGTTTGTTTAAAAAAACACCTTGGCTGCATTTTTAGGTAAACAGCTGCAAATAACTTTGTTGTTTGCAAAACTCAGTTACTTTTGAAGAAGTAACTATATAATTAGTTACCCAACATTGGTCATTATTTACTGTATTTGCAGACAGAGTTACAGACTCTCTCCCAGACCACAGACTCAGAATACAAGTCAGAGCTTTATAATAAATAATAAATATAGAAAGTTGTGTTTTCAAAATTGGAGTTGAAGTTATTTTTCCTTCCAATACTGTTAACATGCTGCACAGGACAGGAACAAGATTTTTAAATTTTCATTGTAAGTGGGCTAAAGCAGTTAATTAAAAGTAGTCTAACATAAATGCTGTAATTTGATTACTTTAATAAACATGTAACTTGGATGGATTGGATGCTGGCGTGACCACAGTGCACACGTCTGCTGTTGCTCACAGTGGTCCGAGGGACGCTCAGGGAGTTTGTGTGTTCGCTCAGACACGTGAAACATTAGAGGGAGCGTTGCTCCCACCCACGCTTAAATATCCTTGACAGGATGAAGAGCTGGTCTCAGTTTCTGTGACCGAGACAAAAACTGCTTCTCCAGAATCTGAGGTTTGAGTACCAGGTGGATACTCGTCTCCAGCACCCTGACATAGTCCCAGGGAGGCTGAGAAGCACGATCCCTTAAAGCTGGTAGACTTTCTCCGACCCCCCTTCTTGAAGAACTACCACACCGTGTACCAAATTTCACACTTAATTTTATATTTAATCAAATAGGTAAGAAATAATAATAAACATCTGACACACAAGACATAAATATGTGTAACAGACGTCTCCCATCCAAGTACTAACCAGGCCGACCCCGCTTAGCTCCTGAAACCAGACAAGCTCAGGGTGGTACGGTGGTAAACTAACAGATGTCCAAAGTTATTACATTTTAATCTGAAACGTGGTGGTGGGAGTAGAGAACCACTTTTCTATGCCCATGTGCAGGACTCACAAAGTTTGTACAAAAAAGGGAACTCATTACATACAATAATCCTCATATACTGTAGCATCTACATGTGTGTGTTTATAGACAGAAGTTGGCTAGTGTAAGACCAGCATGAGTAAAGAGTTCATGGGGAAACACGAGAAAGCTTTGTTGCTGTGCTAAAAGAAAACGATCTACTGTGTTATTAATAAACTTTCCTCATTACCATTTTCCTCTTTCTCTGTAAAAGTCTTCTGGATGTCTGCCTCTCTGTGACTGAATGTTTTTAACAGACAACCTTGACCTTGATTGTTGTTTATTTATGGAAAGCTCTCTAATTGTTAATTGGTTCTTCATTAAAGACAGGAACAACAGATAGAACAGTTACCGTTAAATACAGGCTGCTGTCAAACATGCTTTGCTGTACTTGTAAGACTCAAAGATTTCTTATTAAAATGCAAGTTGGAAAACTCCTGAGATCAGCTGGAGATCAGTAATAAAAACAACAACAATAAGGCTTTAAAGACAAGTGATAAGTAATAATAATATATAGCTAAAAATACCTGTCGTGGAGGTGAGTTATAAAGCTGCTTTATCTACTTAAACAAAGAGTAGTGACTGTGTAATAAGATTGAACATTTTGACTTGTTCCGTTAAAAATACGTTTCAGTGTTCAGCGTTTGATTGAGAGAACAGTTAAAAAGGCTTATCGTGGGATTAGCAACTCCATTAATGTAATAAGTGTGAGTGTGTGACCAGTAGATGTGATCAACATGCAACAGCTGGTAAGAGGCTGGTCCTATGAGGCAAATCTTCTTGCAAAGAGGGCTTGATACCAGTTTAACTTTTTGATGAGGTGATGTCCTGGTCCTGAACTAATCTTGTTTGTAGTTTCTTAACAACTGTTAAGCATTTGTCAGACAGTTTAACGCCTGTCAATAATGAAACAATCTGTTGTCTGAGTGGATGGTGTGACTGTCTACGCTTTTTTCTATGCCACGTTTTGGACTTTTAGTGACGAATTTAGTTCATTTGTCACATTTTTTAATCTCCAATTCTTTGTCTTCTTCGTCTTTGTCACATAAAGTGAAGCTTTATTAGATGCTGAAAAGCTGTCTATTTATGCAGTATTAAAACAGCATAAATAGAAAATAACCTTAATATTTGCATATGACTCACATAAATATCATTTATTAAGATATTTATATATATATTTCTTTAAATATATACTTTTGTCACTGAGCTTTGAGAAGACAATCTAGCAAGTGTAGCAGATCTGAAAGCACTTATGTCTTTATTAAAATTAAAATATTAAAATAGAGAAAGTTAATATGGTAAAATGCAATATACTCAGATGCCCGGTGTATCACTTTTAGTATCTGGAAAACAACAAGTACTATGGTTGATCTAAAAAAGGAAAATCTACAGTAAATTACGAGCCTCTATGAATTTTCCTACTTACCCGGGGTGGTCACATAAATGCCAGCTGTCTCTTTTTTCCTCCCCTATGTAAAAAATACAAATGCACAAATATGATCCAGCATGGTCTCTAATGGATGATTCGAGGTATTCCTGCCAACAGCTGAAGTAACCAGCGAGGCCTTTGACCAAAAAACGCCCCAACTTTCCGTGCCGTGCACCTACGAGACAAACGTCGCTCCCAGTGGCTCTTTACCACACTGGCCCCGCGGCGGGCTTTTGTACATTCCCTCCCTTGATCGTTTGAGGACTCGGGGGTTCAAAGCTGGTCATTAACAATTTTTGGGTGTGAGGAATCTCTTTTATCCAGGGGCCCTCAGTTAACATGATCTCCAGTGCCAGTTGTCCCTGGCTACTCTTTGTTACCTGAGGAGGCCACATTAGTTGGCTAACCTTTCCCTTAAAGTTCAGGGTAAGCTGAGGGGAACAACAGAAGGCTACCCTCAGTAAAGGTTAAAGTTGGAGAGGATTATCCTGCACTTTAGGA